TGAACTATACAGTAAGAAATAAAGAATATATTAGATACTTCAAGTCAGGAAGAAATAAAGTAAAAATATTTGTATTAAGAGATGATAAGATTTTCTATACAGAAAATATTATAAACTTAGGGATAGAATAAGAAACTTCTATAAAATGATAGTAGTGTTCCACATACATAGTAAATAATAATAAAAGATATAAAGCACCACTCAAAGAAACACAGAAACTATGAAATATCTAAGAATTAGTGGAATTTTGGGGCACCTTGTACTTGAGAGTATGTATGTGCACTATGTGTGTGTTCAGTGTCCACAGAGGCCAGAAGAATGCATCAGATTTCCTGGAATTGTGGGTGCTGAAAACTGAACCTGGGTCTCTGCAATAGCAGCTAATAATCTTAACTGCTGGCTTGTCTCTCCAGCTCTCTCTCGTTATTTCTAGCAATTCATATTGTAAATGTTCTCTTTCAATTGTATCCATTTTCAGTGAAATTAAAGTTTCTTAAACTTTTGTAATGTATTTTTGAATTTTTTTTTAAAAAAAAATCAAGGTTAATATGTGAAATTAGAAGTTCATGAGACATCACGGGGGTCACTGGAGAAAGAACAGCTGGGTATAAAACTGATGATCAAGGATAAATTGACTCACGTATGCAGAAGAAAATGTTTCATTGCTGCCTCCTGCCATTTACAAAAGGGAATGGTAATAAATCAGAAACCTAAGTGCAAAGACCAGACTGTGAAATAAATGCACAAAACTACCAAGGACTACTTTCATGCCCTTGAAATGAGAAAAGATTCTTAGGACCACAGAAGCACAGACAAATGCAGGAAACTTCATTGACTTAAGTGAAACCATAAAAAGAACTATTGGGCGGTGTTCTGTAAGCTACACATGTGACTGTCATATGACCTAGCATTCCTAATCCTAGATATATTTTTCAAATAGATCCTCCCAGCATCTTTTCTTGAATTCTCTTGAGCTTTGTTTATAGAAGACCCAGACTGGAAACAACACAAAAGTGTGTCAGGAGAAGAATGTGCATTGACATGCACAATATGGAAGAAGCTCAAAAAACAAAACAAAACTTGTGCTTCTCTTGAGGTTTCCAATCTGTCCACTCTCCCGTTATAGTTCATTCATTCTCTACACTTTGACAAGTTGTGAGTTTCCGTGTTAACCACTACCCACTGCACAAAGACACTCCTCTAATAAGGTTTGAGAGCGGCACCAAGGTATAGGTACAGAGGGATGAATATGGAGGACAGATTGATATATGTCTATTTAGCAGAATGATGGTAGTGTTCAGCCTGGGCCTGTGACCTTCACAGCCAAGGGGTTGGCACCAGGTGTACAGTACCATGTATTTTGTCCTGTGGAAGAAGCCTTAAATTCAATCAGAAAGTGGCACATTAACCCCCTATAACTTTGATGCTAACATTGCACCCATGGTGCATCTTGCCACAGTCGTCATTATAGAAGTCGATAGGGTTCACCGGGTAAGACTGTTGATGACTTTTCCCCCATAGCAGCCTGCATAGCACCTCCCAGTATTATGATAGCTAGCCAACGGGGAGGGTCAACCTGGTCAGTACCAAATCCATTTCTCCATATTCTGTGACCAGAATGTATGGTATCTCAGCAACAGGGCCTTAATAACAAGTGCCAGTGGGCAACAGGAAACAGTGGCTGTAGCCTGTGTTGTTTCTGTGAGGTCTCTAGGACACTCATCACCAACAACTCAAGGGGAACTAGCTCACATCTGGCACTTGGCTTTTTATTTGTCAACATAGAGGTTTCTGAGCATTATCTCCCATGTAGGGTAACACCGATTAAACACTTTCACATATCCATAGCCTATAAAATTTTAGATTTTCATATGACTTTTTCTGACGTCCTTAGTGCTGCCCAACCATCTCTCTTACAGAAGCCTTAGAATCGTGCTTGTCTCTCATTCAAAGGTTTAAGGCTCCATAATTGTTTGAACTTACATTTCCATGTCTTTAAAATGGGGATAACCATAGCATTTTGGCCAACTAATAGGGTTGTTCTAAAGAACAAGCAGCTTATACTTGAGATTGCTCTCATTATCATTGTCTAGTAGAAACACAATGTGAACCATCTAAATACTTTATATTTGTCTAAGCCAAATTAAATGAAAGAAAAAATGTCAGTGTATTTAATTTTAATGGTTTTTTAAACTAGATATGATCAAAACATAATATCAAATGTTAAAAATAAATTATATATCTTTTTCATACTAGGTTTATGAAGCCTATATATTTTATGGTTACTACACATTTCAATTTAGATGCTACATTCACATCAGAAATACTTAATACATATTTAAATTTCATAATAGCTACAGTTTATTACGTAGGTTCGTATCTCCAAATGTTCCTAAACTTTACAACTTTGAAGCTTGTAGTGAAGTCACCAAAATAAAATAATTTAGTTTTAAATTTTTATATGTGGTTCTGCTCCTGGAAAGCATACTTTTGGAGCTAAGGACCAAACCCAGGGGTAGAGAACTTGTCTCACAAGCATCCTAAGCCCCAAATTAAAAGGAATTAAAATGAGAAGTTCGGTCCCTGTATCACCTCAGCTGCATTTTCAGTGATTAGCTGCCTTCTGTGGCCTGTGGTCATGCAGACCAGAACCAAAGGACGAGCTATGGAGCTCTATAAAACCCAGGAATGGTTTCTGGGCAGTTCTCAAGACTCGGTGGCCTGTTGCACTGCAGGCCCACTGTGTGAGAGAAATGAATTCTCTTTGCTTTGATCTACAAAAATATTTCTCAAGGAAAACTTTCCAACTCTCCCAACAACAGGACAGCAGATTGCTTCCATTTCTGTCATCAGAATTTATTTTGTCTAAGAGTTGCTACATATTCTGGGAAATAAATATATCTAAGAGTCAGGGAAAGATGACCAAAATAGACTATGTTTAAAGGGCTGAGAGATCGATTCCTGGTAGTAATGCGATCTGGAATACATGAAACCATTAGCAAAGGGGAGTCCACGGGGAGGGCAGGAGCTATTCTGAGCTGTGGAGAGTTAAGCTTGAGGCTTCAGAGCATCACCAGAGCAGACCGCTGTTTGGCCTGAGCCAAATCCATCATTTCAGGGTGAGGAGGAGCCCTGGGGTCATCCTTTCTGTGTGGGATCTGCCAGCAGAGGTGAGTAAGGACACTGAGAAAATGGCCCACAGCATTCTACCCCAAGCATTTCTCTTTCCATGAATTCACTTCAGAATGGAGTACTGAGGTAACAGAAGTGGAACTTCCACCTAAATTCCTTGGCTTTTCAGAAGATCTTTGATTAGAAGAACCCCACAGCCTGTGGTTGGTACTGCTTTAAGAAACACTGAGTTAGCACTTAACCATGTCTCAGACGTCATCCTGAGGGCTTTACCCGTATTAACTAACTTAACTCTCTGAATAAACTGGCGGCATGGATACTGTTTTCATCTCTGGAAATGGAGTCAGAGATGTTAGCTATGTTGTACAGCATCTTACTATTAATCAGAGGTGGAGAGTGGAATATAAACACATACAATCTATGTTTTGGATCAACCAATAAACCCGTGGTCAAGGTAGCTGCTGGATATTGATCACAGGATGGCTGTCCAAGTCCAGTGCAGGGTAAGGAACTATACCTGATCACTAGACAGAGAGGCAGCAAACACTTCCAGAAAACCTATAAAACCAGCATGTGACTTGGGAACCCACTTGACTTTCCAATTGTGCCCTGTCTCAAAATATAGGAATATCCAAATTGTATTTGTCCTTCAAGGCTCAGCTCAAAGACCCCTTTATTACTAAGGTGCTAGATCTTCTGTCTGAATTGCTCTCTGTTTGATCTCTTTCAACTGTTTGCTGGCTAATCGGGGATTCTGAAGCTTTTCTATTCTCTCTTAAATGGTGTGTTTCTCCAAGGACCTGGGCCTTTGGAGGATGGGAAGTGTGTATTTCCCATTTTCTTTCCTTCATTTTATCTAGCAGGGTGCCTTTGACTTTCGAGGAACTCCTAAATATTCATTGACCTAGTTTGAATAGAAATATAGCATATTGGTAAATTAATCCTAGTGGGTTCTGGAAAGTTAAATCTTAAACTTAAATTCTGATACCAATTAGTTCTGTACTTCAGACAACTTTAACCTCTCTGAGCGTTGGTCATCTCATCTGTAAGCAAATGAGATGACCTTTTAGACCTCCTGACTTTTATGGAGCAGGCTACTATTTACTCTGAACTGATGTTCACAAAAGGCCTTTCAATAAGTCTCTGCAGGATGTTTCATATGTCCTGAGATTACTCTTGGCAAAGACCCCTGGTTGAAGTGGAAGGGATATTTCACCATCTGGGGCAATAGAAAGCCCTGGATTGTACTCTCTTGGAAAGGGTTGTTGATTAAAATGTAAGAGAATACTGATAAACTACAAGGCAATAATCTAGCCAAAGAAAAACTCACTCATATAAACTTTGATGCAAAAATAGTACATAAAGAACTAGTTGAAGGGTGGGGGATGTAGCTCAGTGTCAGAATGCTGGCCTAGCAAGTATGAAGTCCTGGGTTCAGTTCCCAATAATTCACTTCCCACCCTCCAATAATTTGTGGAAACATTCCCTAATTACTGCTAAGATGTTTTTTAAACATAAAAGTTATGTTGAAGTAGGTAACAACCACAGGGAACAATGTTAGGCATCTTTAAAACTTTTATTGAAATTGAAATTGTGTTTTTCATTGATGTTATCTATTTGACTAAAACATTTGAGGTTTTTTTTTTTTCTTTTTTTTTTTTTTTAACAACAAACCTCAGATAGAATACCTTGTCAGCTAGCCTGCCATTGTACAGTGTGGACTCTCCTAGATGTTATCTCTCTATCTAGAAGCTTAGACCCCTCACGTCCAATGTGGAAATTGTAGCATGTTGACAGAAGAACTGGCATCTTGATGTTGAACCAGTGTAGGAGACAAAGATGGAATCATTACCACATTGTACAGAATGGAATGCTGAGGTCCATAAAGGTCCCACTGTGACCTAGATGGAAGCTGAGAGAATATAGTAGAAAAGCCACTGACCTGACCAGACCCATTTATAGTCTTCCAGGCCAACGTAGTTCCCTTGAAGCAGATACACATTGAAGTCCCGGGGACTAGAACAGATTTACCTAGGGGCCCAGCACTGGCATGTGAAGTTTTCTCCAGCTGAGGCTGATGGGGGTGCCAGCAGGAGTCAGCTTCCCACTGGGGAGGAGCAGGGAGCAGGTGTTCCCCCCAACCAGTTTCTCCTTGCGTTTATTGAATCTCTTCAGTTACAGACATGACCTCTGTCTGGGTCCCCGGAAGGTGGGGTTGGCTAACAGAGAGCTTGCAAAGTTGAACTTTGTTTACTCTTGATAAGAGAACCAAAGGGAGATTAACTTTTTACCCATTCTCCTCTCAAAGCTATCAAAAGAATTATGAACTCCTTTCAAGATGAAAGGTGCTGGTTCTTCACAAAGGTGTCCCGGCCGGCACGTGAACTGGAGCCTCTTTTGTCCTCCGTCCCCGCTGGGTAGAGTGAATGGATCACTTCACCTCCCGTGTGTCTCTAAAGGCTGCAGGGTGACCTCTGCTCCCTTCTCCCCACACTCCTCCTCCGGGCTGCTTTCTGCTCCTCCACGCTTGGTCCACCTGCCAGAGTCTCAGGAGCTGAAACCGGAATGCAGGCATCCGTGCCCTCCATCTGTTCCATCCGAAGAAGAGACTAGATGGACGAATCTGAGGCTCCAATTCTAGAGAAAGGCACCCACCTCTTGATGGCCCCTCGTATTACATCCCAACTTTTCCCTCTTCCCGGGCTGCCTCAGTCATTGAGAATGCGCTATCTCTAAGGTACCTGCTCCTGACTGGCTCCAATCAACACATTTCTTAAACTCCTTTACAGCAAGCTTGTTAGGGCTGTCTGCCACACCGTGAGGTCCCAACTTGCTCTGGTTAATTAGGAGGCTTGGGGATGTGCGAGTTGTTTTAGAAATTGTTCTGTGGGTGATAGTCGTGCTGAGCAAGTTCACTTTTGAAATATTTAGTGCTTAGTCGTTTTCTGCTCTAGATGTGGGGGAGGGGCCGTTTGCTGTGACTGTGTATTTTCACCTCCTGTCTTTTTTGGCACGTGGAGCTTATGTACTTCCTGCTACCTTCCCACCTGCCTCCCCTTACAAACATGGAAGAAGTAAACCGTGAAAATCATCGTTCTTCAGGTATGGAGCTGAAAAGACCGTTATTAAAATTACCGAGGCACGTCACACCCCTAAACGCCTTTAGAAAGGAAAGCCGTGGTGATTTATGGCAGGTGGCAAAATACTTGTCATCCAGCAGCAAACTCCCCTCCAGCTCCCAGTGTTTGTTTTGCAAAGCTCACGCAGGAAACCAGTGCACTCCACTCACCTAGCCTGGACCTTGTATGTTCCCCTACCTCCTTGCCTATCCCTTGGCTGCTTGACCTCCAAGGAGCTAAACTAATCTTATCTGGCACCTTACAATTTTATTGTCAGATGGAACTTTATCTTAAAGTCTAGGATTGCCATTCCCACCAAACTTCTTCAATTCCTTCTTTATATTTCATTAATTTAGTTACCCGATAAATGTTTATTTGTAATCTCTGTAAGAGGTGTTGGGTATCTATGCTGGTTAGTTTTTTTGTTGTTTTTTGAAAGTTTGATGCAAGCTAGAGTCATTGAGGAAAAGGGAACCTCAATTGAGAAACCGTTTTTATTAGGCTGGCCAGTAGGCAAGTCTGTGGGGGACATTTACCTATTTAATGATTGATGTGGGAGGTCCCAGCCCATCATGGGCAGGTGGTCCTGGGTGGCATAATTCAGCAGCCTAGGCAAGCCACAGGGAGTAATCTAGTAAACAGCTTTCCTCCTTGGCCTCTGCTTCAGGTCCTGCCTCTAGATTCCTGCCTTGGTTTCCTCCAGCGATGAATGTAAATGGGACATGTAAACAAAATAAACCCTTTCCTCCCTGAGTTTCTTTTGATCATAGCATTTATTGCAATATTAGAATACAAACTAGGATAGTGTCCAAAGACAAATGAGGCGGATTGTGTGGTGATATATTGTGTATCACAATAAAGCTTACCTGGGGATCAGAGGACAGAGCCAGCCACTAAATTAGACACAGGTCAGGCAGTGGTGGCACACAACTTTAATCCTATCACTCGGGAGGCAAAGATCCGTCTGGATCTCTCTGAGTTCAAGGCCACACTGGACTACACGAGAGAAACAGAACCAGGCAGTGGTGGCACACGCCTTTAATCCTAGGAAGTAATATGGCAGGACACAGCAAGGTATATAAAGCGTGAGGAAATAGGAACTCACTCTCTTGAGGCTGAGGATTTCATAGAGGTAAGCTAGGGGCTGGTTGTTCTGCTTCTCTGACCCGCAGGTAAGTTTTATTGGGGTAAACATATCACCACAGGATATAGTTCCTTCTTGCTATTTGTTATAAGGTCTAACCTGGAAAATGATCATTAAAGAAGAAATGATCTGTGAACACTGGTTGCATTGACTTATAGGGAGCTAAGGGAGTCTAGACTGCACACAGGCCAGGAACGTTCTCCTTGACAAAAACAAAAAACAAAAAACAAAAAACAAAAAACAAAAACAAAAACAAAAAACCATAAGAAAAAGAATGAGCAAGGGAAAGAATGGTACAGAAGACAGCTGTCAGGTATTAGAAGATCAGTGTGGCCAGAGCACATCAGTCACGGATATTAATTTGCCATTATGTATATCTGGCAAAATAATGGTTTAATTGGTTTACCATCCACACTGAGTCTGTGATGAGGAATCTGAGCACACAGAGAAGATGAGTGGCTTGCCTCAGGTCTCAGTTTGGAATGCTGTGTCTGGGTTATGAGCCAAGACAATCAACGAGGTTCCATCCTGTCCCCTGAACCAAACGGCAGAGGCGGCAAAGGGACCCCTGGCAGGAACCATGTCATACCAGTTCCAGAAGAAAAGGGCAAGTCACTGCGCTCAGTCAATGCAGGCGGTACTGAGAGCTTGATCCAGCGTCCAGATCCCCTCGTTAGCAATTTCCTTCATCATATGCAACCCTGGGAGACTGTCTTGAGAGGTTAGTTCTAGGTGTGATGAGAAAATGAGTGGCAATCATACTGGTCCTCACCATCTGGAGGGGCAGGAGAGGCTATGGGAAGAAGAGAGAGCTACTGACTCATCACGTGGGCTCTCCGTGAAATGTTCTGGGAATGACTACAGAGTAGACTAGTAGAAGCCACGAGAGTTTTTGAACTTCGGTCCGTTCTTTTTTACTCCTCTCTTTGGTCAGTATATACTTAGTGTGTGCCGTCCAGACGCCTGCCTTCATGCCTGAAGTTGAAAAATGAGCAGGGATTTGCACAAGTGAAGTAGAAACTGGCGTAAGCAGAGGGAGAATGTAAAGGTCTGGATCCTGGAGAGATATTGAAGAGGTGTGTCTGATTAGAGTTCAGTTGCTGGGGCTGGGGACAGGTGGGGACAGGGGAGAAAAGCAATCGCCTCAAGTCATATCAGAATCAACAGTGAGATTTTTCACGTGAATATGAAGCCATTGCTGGTACTTGAGCAGGGGAGATTAATGAATGTAGCTTGTAGACTGGTTGGCAACAGTGTGCAGACTCTCCTGGACATCGGTCAGAGTCATAGTCTGAGTTGTCTGCAATCAAGTAAGAGAGATCCTCAGGAACAGAAGAGTCGGTCCAAATGCCATTGAATCCTGCTTCTCATTTGTCCCAAATGTGTTACAAAAGGATGCTACAGGTTAAAAGAAGGTCTCTTTCTTGAAGATCAAGGAAAAACTAGCTTTTCTCTGTCTCTTGAAGCAGACAGGATTTCTTTCTGATGGTCCAGGACAGTTTTATTAACCAAAACCTGCCTTCAACTTGGCATCTCTTCAGCCAGAAACAAAACAATTATTCACTCTGGACTACCCTGAAAAGGGTAGGAGAAATTAGTGTAACTGAAAGAGACTGTCCCTAGCTAAAGGAGCTGCTTGGTAAATTTCAATGGCTGCCTTGTTTCAGACGGGACCTCCTCTTCCATCCCCCCTTTCCTTTTGCCATTCTTTTTTAAAAAGTAGTTTTTCAAATCCTCCTGCTGTCGGGAAGTTTATCATATCTGGGTTTTACCTGGTCAGTTTTTATTTAGTCTTCGGCAGATTCTGGTTCGAATTGTCTGCATTTTAGGGATTGGCACACACATCGTGTCTTAGCGCCAAAGCATGTGGGTCAGCGGATGGCTCGGGAGCAGTGAATGAATGCAACCGTTGTGTGGCTCTGGATGACTGTGCTGAGCCTCAGCATTTCCGAGTAGCCAGAGGGTCACATGGGCAAGTTTCCCCTCCATCTCCTGGCATATTCAGTTTCAAGCGCCCCTCTTCCACTCTTCCCCAAAGCCTCCCTCAGCTGGATTTTCTCCATTCCACATGTGTGTTTTCCCCGTTGACCTACCATCACACATTTTTCTGGTTAACATTATTTAGTGTGTGGGTAGAGGCACTGTGGCAATCTGTGATGCCTGTAGTTAAACAAATCATAGGAAGAATGATTAAGGTGTTTCAGGGAACATTTACAATACCTAGTTATTTCTTACACACACACACACACACACACACACACACACACACACACACACACACACTTACACAGAGAGAGAGAGAGAGAGAGAGAGAGAGAGAGAGAGAGAGAGAGAGAGTGAGAGAGAGGTTTTTGCCTTTAGAGAATTTTAAAAATAGCACACCACAGTTCTAGAATTAACAGGCACTTTATGGATGATAAAGTTTATCCCAATTATATATAGACAAAGACACTCTTTCCAGGCATGTAGATTCAAATGTACATTAAAACAGGTCTGATGTTCTCTATGCATCTCACCACCCAAAACCTTCACACTGTCTAAGGGGGGGGGGGGGAGACACACTCTCAAGCCTGGGAACTTGCAGTGTTTCTGTTAGCCAGAGATCAATTTAAAGTCATTTGCATGGGTGGGCTCTGCACTCGGGTCTCTGGATGGCACAGCAGGCTCCTCCTTGGTGGAAGACATTCACGTGAAGATCAGGGAGACTTTAGAAAAGCAAAGGCGCAGTGAAAAGAACCTCCACCCGCTCCAAGCCCTGTACTCTATGAGGCTTGGCCTCTTTGAACCCCGACCTCTACCATCCCCAGGAAGTTGCTGGCTACACAGTCTTTAAAAATGTCAAGAGATGCAGGGACATGGCTGGCTCCCAGTGAGCTGAGACAGCCCAGCCAATGGATGTGCTGACCCAGCACTTCTGGTCGCAGGAGTTAATTACTTTGGCTACACAGTTTGAGTGCAGCCCATGCATCAGATCAGAACCAGTTCCTGGAAACTGACGATGAGAGCTGGGGGAGGCAAGTGCGGATGGGAAGCAGGCCAGTATTCTTTCATTCCCCTAATACCACACCACCAGTTAGCTGTAAGGAGTCGGGGTTCACATACGCTGTTGCCCTGATTTACTCCTTGTATAAGCCCTACAGCCCTCCAAGCAGGAGCTGCCCAGGGCTGTCCATGTTCTGTCTGATGTCAGTTTCCTTTCTTCCCTTTAGAGTGGACTGGATTTCTGTGTGCTTGTTGGATGCTTTTACTCATTAGGCTAATTGAGGGCATATTTGTTAATAGAGGTGCGATCTGATATGGGGTTCCAGATGGGGTGGCTTAACAACAGAAATGAATTTCCTCATAGTTCTAGAAGTGGACAGTCCAAGGACAAAGTATTGATACGCTGAGTTTCTTTCTCCTTGGCTTCTGGATGTCAGACTACTTGCTGTGTGCTCACATGGCCTTTTATATGTGAGTGTACATCCCTAGTTTCTACTTTGTGTAAAGCTATGGACCATATTGGGTTCCACATTATGGCCTAATTTATCCTTAACCACTTCCTTCAAGGCCATATCTTCCAAATGGCACACTGGGATTAAGACTTTCCATGTGTGAGTTCTGGATACAGACAACTCAGTCACAATGCCACAGAGGGCTCCTTGCTTTGAAAGCTCTATGCGGCTTTGTCTCAGGACATTAATACTGTACTAACAGCAAGCAAAGGTGCCTTCACAGACAATGAGGGAGATATTTTCTACAAAGACATCTATTCATTCAGAAGTCTATTTAATTTTAGAAAGCAGGTGGATGTGTATACACACACAAACAAATAGGTGCATATAACATGTGTATAGGAAGATTTCTTCTATTACAATGTTTGAGAAATTAATGGAAAGTTCACAGATTACATTAGATGCTGGGGGGGAAATGTCAGCAAGTTTGGAGGTTTAGTTACACAACATGAAGCCAGCACACTGGGACAGTGAGCCAGCTACTCCTGTATCAGGCACAGGTTAATGTGGATAGTATCTGATACTTAAGGAACAAAACTTTGGCTGGAAAGATGGCTGAGCAGGGAAAAGCACTTTCTGCTAAGCCCAATGACTTGAGCTTGGTCCATGGAACCCACTGTGGAAGGAGAGAACTAATTCTCTAAAGTTGTACTCTGATTTTCCGACACACACTGTGGCATGCATGCTCACCTGTTCTCACTAAATAAATTAATCTTTTAAAGAACAATTACTTTAATCAGGCCTTGCTGCAGTTCCATGAAGTTTTACGTTATCGCCATTTTATATAGGGGAAACTGAGGCACAGAGAAGCAACTTTCTCAAAACCACTATCTGAGGCCAGTGTTTCTGTCTGATATTAAAACCCAGAAACATTTATAGCCTATTAGAGAAGACAAAAGATGAATACCAAACTGTGAAAATCAGATAGTCAACCCATGTAATTGATTCAGTTGCCAGGTGATAAATTAGAGTAAGTGCTGGAGAAAGCCCTGCAAAGAAATACATTACTGGGATTGAACTTCGAGGTCTGGGTGCATATTAAAGACAGCTTGAGGTATGGCCAAGACTGCCTGTAGTAGAGACAGTAAACTGAGTTCAGGAAACAGCAGGGAAATTCACATCTTCCTAACTGAGGACTTGGAGTACCATGAAAAAAGAGACTAAGAGTATAATTCTGTTTTTGAGGTTGGCACTAGACTCATAGTTTAGGAGGAAGCAAAGCTTGAATTGGAGTGTAGACAGTGGCGCGATTTGTAGCTGGAACAATTTTTTTGTGGGTGGCAGTTCATCTGGATTGAAAGTGAGCCCTTAGGTCAGACAGTAGGACTTATATTGAAACTGTATTCACAATAAATAGGCAATCACATTTCTGCCTACTGAAAATAATAATTACATAATAGGACAGTAAAAGAGAACTCTACTTCTTACATTTGTGTTATGTCATGCTCAGGTATAGACAGACATGCATGGAATTGTTATCAATTGTGGAAACACTGTCTTGGGTGGAAATGTGCCTCAAAGGGAGACACTTAGTGCCTAATCAGTCATCTTAGATCCTCACTGACAACTATGTTTAGCTCAGTCTTGGAGACTGCCATTGTACATCCAAGCTAACTCAATGTCATCCAGCTCCTATCCACAAAATTAAGATGTGTGTATGTGCATGTGTATGGCTTCAGAATTAATTAGTTACCACCCTAATGTGTCCTCTTTTTTCGTGAGTTTTACATGATCAACATCTTAATTATATCCCTAGAAATATCTGCTGTGTTTTTGTATTAGTTGAATTCTCCAGAGAAACAGAATGAGTAGTAGATATAAGTAGATGGTAGATGATAAGTAGATAGACAGATATGTAAATATAATGGAAGACAGACATGGAAATATATTGGTGTTTAGAAAGATGATAGATCAAAGATAGATAGAGATAGATGGATAGACAGACATTTATTTAAAATTGGCTTACGTAACAATGGAGACTGAGAATTCCCACAATATGTTGGCAACAATTTGAGAAACAGGAAAACTGATGGCATGCATTCTGGAGTCTGAAATAGAATCTCTGATATCTGACAGCAGGAGATGGAAGATGAATGCCATAACTCAAGAAAAACAAGAAGGGTAATTCTCTCTTCCCCCATTTTTCTGTTCCATTTTGAGTGCGAGTGGACTGGAAGATGCCTGCCCACGCTGCGGATGGTCTTCTTTGCTCAGTTTACTGACTTGG